AAAAAAAAAAAAAAAAAACAAAACAAAACACCAACCAAAAAACCCCCCACTAAACAAATGAAGAAACCCCACCACAACCTTGCAAATAATACACATCTAAGTATGAGCCTGGCAATTTTCTAATGCAAAATCCTAATTCTGTAAGCAGTTTACAATTCAAAAGCCTCAAGTTAACAAAAAAGCCTTAAACATTACTAGCTACTTGGGTTTTTTAAAGCCTTTAGATCAGGAAGAAGAATATAGTAATTATGCTCAGCAGATTCCCCTATTGTACGTCAAAGAATGGTTTGAACTAAATGCTACTTATGGAACTCCAAAGGTGTGGTATTGGAAAGATCAAGATTACAGGTCAAAACTATAAGGGTTGCTGAGATACTTCTCATACTAGAAGAGTTTAGATACAACTTCAGTGATGCACTGGTGAGCACTTTCAACTTGCCACAGTAATACATTAATGTGCTTTCCAGAGCTTAGAGCAAAGGTAGAATTCTTCATGTTGTAGTTTAAATAGTGTCTCAGTAGGTAAATTTCACATGCTGATCTTTAGGTGTTTAACTGTTAGTGACTATGGTTGAAGACTTAAGTATATCAGAATGATTAATTGTCTGAAGCCCCTTGGTTTGACTTTTTAATTACACTGCATTGGTAAAATGGGGGTTATGGAAATGCACAGTAAATATCTGCTGATGCCTGTTGAGCTGAGATCTCTGATTTGAAGAAAAGGTCAGTTAATCTTCTTGCAGTCTAGAGGGAAAAAATGGACCATACAGTCTTACTACAGCAGTAATTTGTTAATATTCTTCCATCAAAAATTAAGTAAAAGTTGCTTGTTCCCTGCAAAAGTGAAAAGATTTCCTTAAAAAAAGGGGTAACATTTGACTTTGTGCCCCAGCCCAGGGATCATGATGGCTGCGAGGCTCTCCTTTGGAATTAAATGTTGAGCACTGCCAGATGCCAGACACCGAGAAGAGCCCGAGTTTTGTCGGAGAATGGGATCTGCAAGTTAATTGTTGTTTTCTGCAGACTTCTGGCTGTGAAATGAAATTGGAAGCCCTTTAGCCACATGGATAATACAGGACCTGAATACAAATGTCACATGTCTCACCATCAGGGCCCACTGTGAAACAATAGTGTTCCCACTCAAACACTGCACCATTACAGATCATTTAAATATGGGGATTACATTTAAACTAAAAGCCCTATTTGCCTTTTACTGCAATTTAAATGTCCTCTTAGCAAAAGCTAAGTGACAAATTAAATGAAAAAAGTGCCCACATTTTTAAAGCTGTAATGCAAAACAACCTTTTATTACTTCTCATGTGCCACCAATGAATCATTATACTTGTCAACCCTAAACCAAGCCATAATTGGAGCAGCTTCTGTTATCAAAGTGGGGCTGCTCTTGTGACAGCTCACTAAAGCTGAAACTGTTAAATTAAATCCCAGATGCTTAATCTGATGAAAGCAGTCAAGTAGAAGAATCTAAGACAAGTATCTACTGCTTGGTGGAATGATGGAGCCCAACAGCTTGTCAACACGTAGATTACAGGATCAGGTTGGTTTTTTTTGTGAACTACCATTTTCAGGATCTTTATATCCTCTTGCTTGCCTTCAAGGTGAAAAGGCTTTATGTAATTTGCATGTTTCAGAACATTTCTAGTAGATTTCCTCCATTTTAAGAACTGTTTAAGGGGGATAAGGGGGAAGAAAGATTTTTTATTTATTTTTTTTAAAGTCAAGGATTAGTTTCTTGTGGAACAAAAATACGAGGGCTGTGTCACAGGAGAGAGGCTGTGTCCAAAGAGCTCTTGCAAGGCAGCGTAGTGGATG